GTGCGATTATTATAATGTGCTAGAATATTATGATGTTGCCAGATTTCTCTCAGTGGAATATTTGTCTAAAAGGAAAATAACAAATATTCATCTTCGAAATTTTCTGATACTTTGACCAACTTGGGAATGAAATTCTTTGAAAAAATCGAAACAAATCGCTCACATTTCTTCGGAGATTTGGATTTGATCAATGGAAATTTGGCGACATCTGAAGGTCTTCATTATAGCACGGCACAATAGCTCGGTTACAATTTTACGCTCTGCTTCTATCCCTTATGTTTCAATACCGATTTTTCCAGGACATCAAAGGAACCGAACCGACAGAGTGTCCTCCGGAAAATTCAGCATGCGTTAAACCTGACTATTCCTATTCGGAATTAGTTATAATGGCGATCGAGTCAGCACCTAACAAGCAAATGAGGGTGTCTGAAATCTATCAATATCTTAAAGGCAAATTCGAGTATTTCCGGAACGAAGGGAATTGTTGGAGAAATAACATCCGAAATGCTTTGAATCGAACACCCGGAGTCACGACAGTCCTAATGGACCGGACACCTGGTATCAGGAAAATCTACTGGACCCTCAGTAAATATACTGATACCATAACTCAAAGGCCTGGCATTTCCACTTTTGCCAATTTGTCTCGTAAATCTACGTATCTTGGACAGGTTCGTATGCTTCCACTCTGTTTAAATCATTGGGACCCCGGGACCCCCCTCACTGCCACGTGGCTTCACTCACACCACGGGTAATAATTGGACCGCGTTTAACAGAAAGGAACCAAGCCACATCAGCTATTGCCAAAGTTAACTGGACAATTTAATTTTTTTACGAGAGAATGGTTATGCGGATTCTTTTGAAAATTTTAGGGAATTTGCTTCGTACTATGGAAGAAATCCACTGAAATTTGCACGAAAATCCGCAAAACCGCTTACTTGTAAAGAATAAAATTTCCCAATCAAATTTGGCAATAGCTGATGTGGCTTGGTTCCTTTCTGTTTAATGCGGTCCAATTATTCGAAATTCGGTTAAATTTGAGGAACCTCTATCGGGAGCCAATATGTATTGGTAACACTTACTTTTTAATGCCGACTTTTTGTTTACATCGGTTGTGGATGGTTTTCATTTATCGATAGCAATTTCACCCGTATAGAGTTTTCGGCTAAATTTTTGAAAATATAAAGTTACTAGAGGCCTGTTGCTGCAACGCGGCCGCCAACCACTGAAAAAAGCTACACGTAAAAAATAGTAGGACGACCACGATCAAGTTGATTAAGAGATGAATGGATTCAAAAGCCGACGGGTGCATGCGAAAGAAAGCATATACGTCTCTCGCAGTGCGTTTGGTGCAATGCGAGAAGTATTCATGCAGTCTTGTAGGCGCTTATATGGGTTTGAGGCCGACCGCACTGTTTGGCGCAATGCGTGAAGTATTCTAGCAGTCTTGCAGGCGCTGATATGAGTTTGACGCCTTCCGCACCGTGTTTGGCTCGATTATTCGACCCCGCGTCAGAATAATTGCAGCATCGAACAATCGGGCTTAAAAGGCTCATGTTGTGTTTCGACGCCATATGTGCAGTCTAACGTTGCCTCGTTTCTCCCGATAAAACATTTTTTCTGAGAAAAGTTAGGAAAGTTTTCTATGGTCACTTTTTAGATTGAATGAAAAATTAAACGAGTTACGAATTCAAGCACTCTGATACATAATTCTTCAAGGGGACATAACATTTTAATAGCACTAGTATTAGGTCTTAGCCTTAAGTCTATTTTTAATCATATTGTAAATATTCCAATTGCTGTCAAAGTAGGTGAATAATTTTAAAATAAAATAAAATAATAATAATAAAAAAAAGAATGATTCTTCAACAAAATTTCGCGCAGAACACGACTTGCGCAAAGAAAACTTCTGAAATCAACTTTCAGCTAGGATATTAATGTTGAATGTTATTAATGATATAATAATGTGATAATAAAATGTGATATTAATGTTGTATTAATGAGTGTCCAAACAAACCCAAAGTATTATCCTGCGATTTTTCTTTAACCATTGTCCCTTATATTTTCATGGCAATATTTCAGGATACCGCTGGGACAGAACCGAGACCGTGGCCTTCGGAAAATTCAGCGTGCATTAGGCCCAACTACTCCTATTCGGAATTGATTGAAATGGCCATCAACTCCGTGCCTACCAAGCGTATGAAGGTGGCCGAAATCTACAAATATATAATGGACAAATTCGAGTATTTCCGGAACGATGGAAAGTGTTGGAGAGCTAACGTAAGAAATGAGCTGAGCAAAAAACCCAAGTTTGCAATACACCCCAGAGATGTGTCATTAAATATCGCAAAGAAAGTCTACTGGACCCTTAGTAAATACATAAAAACCACAACTCGAGTGCCCAGCATTTTTGTTTCTGCCACACTGTCTCGTAAATCTGGAGACCACGGACAGGTTTGTGTTCTTTTACTGTGTATGAATTGAAGGATTATAATTTTAATTGTACGACTTTATTTGATGTAGTTTGTTTTTGTTCTTCTAAAACTTTATTTTTATTTTACCCGGTTGAAAATGGGGTTGATAAGATCGAAACCGTTCCGGCTTGGCGTTTTCAGCGTCTGAATTTTTTAGCATCCTACACAATTTTTGTGATTTCATATGTACTTGCTTGTATTAATATTTATTGAAAAAAAATTGAAAGAGTCTAAGCTTAGCAAGATAATTAAAATGAACCAAGTTTAGGAGGGTCCATATTTCGACAGTACACGTATATTATCCTTCGTCAATAATGATTTAGAGTCATTCGCTCCACGAAGTTGTCTCATTTTCATGTTTTTAATAGCGCATTTACCTGATTGACATAACGGGTTAATGTTTAATAGATCGATCGAGTATAAATTTATCGATTTAGTCAATAAGGACTTTGACATCCTCCTCAATGCAGTATATTAATTAACACTCCTTGATGATGTTCACAGACTCTTGAGACAGGTGAGACCAATTGTCCTCCGGAAAATTCTGGTTGCAGGAAACCGTCACACTTTGCTTGAGAAATAATCACGATGGTGATCAACTCCACTCAGAGCAAGCGAATGAAGCTGGCTGAAAGATACATTTTGTGGTAACTTTAAGTATTACCAAAACCATGGGCATTGTTGGCGAGGTTATACTCAAAGCACGATCGTTAACACGATCTGCAACGCTGCAGACTTTTTGACATAAGTAATTTTTTATGTGAAAAAATACTCAACGTCATTCCCTGAAAATTTTAACCGTTTTAGGAATTCTTAGCTGTGAAAAAAAAATATCTATTTTTAATCTTGGCATGGTATAGCCAACTTCAACTTTCTGAGGTTAATCTCGTTGCATTGCTTAATGCACACATACCTATATTTTCTTGTATTTGTTCATGATTTAACTTTTCCCCTTTTTTTGTGTTTTCTGTTGGCTTTTTGTCCGATCCTTGTCTCTATATTATTTGTTTTATAATTTATTAATGTTGGATTCAACTTGCAATATGTATGGCAAACAATACATTTGAAATAAACAGTCGAGTCTCATTTGTTCTAATCATTTATAGTTACTTAAATATTTTAATACAAGCTCAGAGTGTTTTGTTCTGTTGACCTGTGTTCTGCTCTTATGGTCAAACTTTTGCTCTCAAAACAGAAACACTCTGCCAGAGATAGAGAAGATGTATTCGGGCCTCAATTGTTCACAGTTCTGCCGAATCTGAACGACTTCTCACTGAAAGAATGGAGCTGGAGCTGACCACAGCGAGTTAACGCCTCGCGCCCGCGCGCCTTCAATTCTGCAGATGCAACGAGCACATCCATCAAGGACGAATAGTTGTATCCCTGCGCCGTCATCAACGCGCATCCTTTCCCTTGCTCTCAAGCGGGCCATGCATATGGCGCGCTTTATGGCGATTGCCGAGAGACCAGCTCTGCCGTGGTGGTAGCGAAGAGAGCCGTAAGTTCAAAAATGAAGTTTTGAGAAAATGGCCTCCGTATAGCTTCGGAGCGGATAATTTTATTTTAGGAAGCCTCCGTTCTTTTTCAAATTGCCACCAATCATTTAAAGACTCTTTGAAATCGTTTAGATGATTATAAATCGACCTATTTTATAAAATTATACGCGCATAATGGTAATATAAAATTATACATTATATTTATTTATTATATTAAGGATGCGCGTTGACCAATTATATAAAAAGAATATTATTGATTTTCATCTCAGGTTAGCAAGAGAGCCGTAAGTGCAGTCGTCTGCATGCATTCGTGGTTGCGCTTCGGTCACACAACAAACATATTTTGAGGTTAAAAATTGGCAAAGAAAGGGTGGCATTTCACTTAAAAGCTGTGTTTCCACTAGCTCTCTGAGGGAATAATGCTAGTCACGGCTGTCTGTCCTGTCTAAAACTGAGCTTCTAGGATCTTTTTCGGATTTTATCAAACTTCAAATAGCAAAGAAACCCCGTTTAGTAAACGCTAAAAATGGGACCAGTTTGAAACGATATTTTTGACGGGTTACAAGGACGTATATTCAGGCGGGCGATGATGACGGCTTGCTGATTGACAAAGAACTCAGCTTCAGGTTTCGCTTTTCCACGTCACTCGACTGTCGGCTTTGGATTGATCGGATTTTGAATAGCTTTTTCTCCTCTTAGAAGTACTTTTTTTAACTTTTTAATGAACATTTTCGTTTTCCCTCGAAATTTTTCATGAGTCAGCCGACACTGTAACTCTGAAAAAATTGGTGTCGTGGCTCAATTATTGCAGTATTTATTTAGGGGGATGAGGGATATAGGAGGGTGGTGGGGAAGCGGGGTTCGTCTTGAAATTTGATCGGAACAGGAGTGCCCTAAAAGAAAGTCTGGGAGATGATTTTCCCTTAAGCTTCTTCAGTTGGTTTGAAGTAGAACTTACAATGTTGTTTAAGGCTATCCTGATGAGGCGATAATAGACAGCGGGTCATTTATTTAATGAGACAACATTTCGATAAGAGCTTGTTATACGGCGACAGCAACATTAAACCAAGTCTGCTGGATAGCTCTTTGAGAATCGAAATTTTAAAGATCAGTAGAAGCAGTGATATAATCTAAATATGGAGGTCCCGTTCAAATCGAAGAAGCTCCGTGTTGTCCTTTTCGTAACTCTCCGGCCTCCGGCGAGGCGCGTTTTGAATATATCCTGATGAATATCCAGTTTAGAAGCGATAGGTATTCGAGTCGGAAAATTGAAAGCCCGTTGGTTCGCGAGAAAATAATCTGACGACTTTACCGTTTCCTCAAGCTTTAGGCGTGTGCTTGCTTTGTAAATTAAGAACTGAATGTACCCACCTTTAATTAAATTTCGATCACATTATATTTACGATTGGACGATTTAGAAACTAGTGAAAATAGTTAAAACAATACCTTAACAAAAGTAAACTTTAAAATGTACCTAATTTTGCATACTTTTTGATTCGTTCATCACGGAGGAAAATACATCTAAAGCAAATGTTGCCTCTTCGATCGGTCAATCTATTAACGCAGTTTTTGCTGGTGTTTGCAGCAGTTGCTCCCAATTTTCTTTGTGTTGGAGCAAATGAGGCAAACTCAAACGGAATCGATGGGTGCGTACTGGTAGTTTTCTTAAGTTCTTTAAGGGGCGTTATCTGAGCCAAATCATAGGTGGGGTGCAACGTAATTGAGTAGGGTATATATAAATTTCGAAAAATACCAGAGAGAGTGAGAAGTATAATTAAATACCACAATCGGCCCCACAGCCCCACGGACAGCTGTAACTCCAGCGTTTTTTGTCCGTAGGAAAGGGAGTCTTCGTCTAATGAAAAGTAATTGGCCTTAACCGGTCTTTGGATCTCCTCAGTGATACATATTCACGTAAACGAGGGTGGTTCTATAAGTTGAAAAATTCCCTTTTCTCATAGTTTTATCATTTCTCGATTGGAGCGTAAAGGAATATTACGATAATTTTTGCTGTGAATACACTCTTATTGTACCTACGTGGTATTAAAACAAAGAAACATATCCAAATTTCAGCCTAATACTACCAAGCCCTCTGATCAAAAAACGATACTGAGCTTGAAAAAACAAAAAAGTGGCTATTTTTAACTTTCAGACCCACATGTGCGTAGTACTCAAGTATATTTTACGAAAAGGCTTTAAAGATCGTCTGAAACATTATTTTCATCAGATGTAAAGTTTCTTTCATACGGAAAAAATAGGCACCGAAATATCACTAAATTCCAGCGTAGGGTCGATTTCGGACGTACACAAAACCTCATCTGCGACCAAATTTTTGGCCAAAAATGTTATCATTGGGGAACTCTCGGAAGAAAGGCAGAGGAGGAAGAGGGGTAATTATGCAGTACACCTCAGGCCAAGTTGCATGATTTCAACTATTTCATCCTTGAACAAAAAAAAATGCTCGATGGTGAACAAATTATAAAAGCGTAATCACTTTGTAGATATTTCATCCCATATAGTTGTGATATAAACATGAAACAGTCTCTGTTTTCCCTGTTAAATCTACCACTTTGTTCATCATTTTCAGATTTACTGGCGGCGAGTCGACAAGTCCTACGAACAAAGTTACGAATTACTCAGAAGTGGTAAGCAACTCAACTGTTCATTCTTACATATCGAGATTTTTAACTGAGAGTTTATAAATGAGCAGAACATGCTATACGAAGAGTCGGTCTGATAATCAGAAAGAAGCAATCACGTTATTACAGTCCTTATTTCTTCGTCATAATTTCATGAGGGTAAGAAACAAACTTTCGGGAAGCTCAGGATATTATACATTAATAAATATTTGGAGCATAAATATGTAAGGCAATGATGGGGATCGATCATTTCTTCAAAAACGCATTTGACTGGGACGTTAGTCCCATTGGGTGGAGGAAAGTGACGACCGTGGATGTCCCTCCGCGATTTGACTTGCTGAAGTAGCGAAAGTTTATCTTTCCTTCTAGGAAGATTATCGGTTTCCTCTGGTAACATTGAAAGAAGTTATGCCAGTTTTGTTGTTTGGATCCAATTGATATAATAAAGAATCCCCATGGTGACGTCACCACAAATAGTAACTATACTCGAAACACGATTTTTTTTCAACACTCATCCCTGATGGCGATGTTTCAGGATACCGCAGGGACCGAACCGACAGAGTGTCCCGCGGAAAGTTTGGCGTGCGTTAGGCCCAACCACACTAATGCAGAAATGATTGCAATGGCCATCGAGTCCGCACCTAGCAAGCAAATGAGGGTGACTGAAATCTACCAATATTTAATGGACAAATTCGAGTTTTTCCGAAACGGAGGGGACTGCTGGAAAAAAAGCGTTCGATATGTCTTGAGCAGAAGACACCGATTTGCAATGGTCCCGGGGAAAAAGAAAAAAGTCTACTGGACCCTCAGTGAATATATTGATACCATAACACCAGTGCCTACATTTGCCAAACCAACACGAAGATCCCGCCGGCAGGTTTGTACTATTTTAATTATTTCTGTAAAAATTATTTGTGGGAGGGGGGCTACACTCTTCAGCCGCTGAGCGATCCAACCGCAAGGATAAAAGGATTTTTTTTTTTTTTTTTTTTTTTTTTTGTATCATATTACAAGGGTCAACTATTTCTAATCCATTTTACAATCCTTTAAATAGAAATGATTTACACAAACAAAGTGTCATTGATCATCGAAGTTAAGGTGTCATTTTTCTGACGATCCGTGAGAAGATAGATTTAGATGGCGATTAGAAGTCTCAGAGTGCTCTAGTGCGCTGATTTAGCGGCATAATATTAATACTTTGGTAGTCGTGCCATCCGCCACATCAAAAAATCCAAAATTAATATATTTCAAAAAAGTCTACGAGCCATAACTTTGCAATCATGACTTCGAATATCAATGTCTAATAATCGATGAAAAGGTCTTCTTATATTCTTTTATTCACAGAAAGTTCAACTGGATATCTGCAACTGTTCAAAAGTTATGCTGAAAAGTTGTATTTTTTTAAACCCTCATCCTGTTCACGAGGGCTGGATCAAAATTGCTGCCATTGTTTAACTTCTCCAACCTTTTACTCAGAATATGCCAAGATTCCGATATTTGCTCAGCCTTGGGAGCTGTATGTACCTCTTTGCGTTAGATCTACTTTGGAAATTGGAAGGTATAATGAAATAATCAAAAAATTATATTTTTCAGTTTTTACTCGAACGTTCCCTATCTGATGAGATTCATCGACAAAGTTGTTCAAAAATGAGTTATTGCTGACTAGTGCGATAACGATTTTATTCAAAGCGTTACTGTTACATATTTCGATCAAATGAAGATCTACTGACCAATCGATTATAGGTTTTTCGTGTCATCGCTGTACGGTTAACTCACAACATGCCCTGCTGTTTTTTACAGTTTTCTGAAATGGATTCGACTGCTTGTCCTCCCGAAAATTCTGTTTGCACAAAACCAAACTACTATATGTGGGAATTAATCACCATGGCCATCAACTCCACTCCGAGCAAGCGAATGAAGCTGGCTGAAATATACAATTACATTAGTGATAACTTTGAGTATTACCGAAACCAAGGGAATTGCTGGCGGAATACTGTTCGATGGACCCTGACTGTTGACAAACGTTTCAACAAAACTCCCGGCGATGAGAAGTCTTCCGGTTCCTTCTGGATTCTGAGCAACCAAACAGATAACGTAACTTATAAAGGTGCTAAACCCACTATCTCTACTACGCCAACAATGACAACTCAAGCCTCTAGTCACCAAGAGCAGGCAAGTATTTCGTAAGTTAGACTCAGGAAAGATTCGAATTGTCCTCAGCCGGGAGAAACTTGGTCGCCCTTTTTATTTTCTTTAATATGTCCTCTAGTAGAAATCAAATTCGACAAAATAGACTTAATATTTTGAACCTGGACTTAGAGTTGAACCCCTCCTCCCCCGTCGTAGTACAATTAAGCCCCCCAGGCACTCCCCTCTTCAATTCTGCTTTAATTTTTTCACCCATTAGTCGAAACTGGCACGTAAAAGTAATCAACCGAATGGCCAATGATATGAACTTGAGTTGTGGAGAAAGGAACCACTTAGGTACATTAAGTTTAAACATTAGAGAAGTACTTAAAACTTTCTGCCTTTCTAAATCTCGAAGTTAATACGAACTTCAAGTCCGTATTCAAAATTCTGAGAAAATTTCATGGGACTTTATGTTTTGTTGAGAGAAGTGCTGACATTAGTCGTTCCCAAAATCAAATCCCTAAAATTTGCTGTGAATTTTCTCGGTAAGCTGACAAAAATTTCTCCTCAAATTGAAAATATTTCAACATCGTAATGTAATTGTACTTGTGGCATATCTGCTGCATCACGTGTGTGTATGAAGCTTAAATTTTGATTTGAGGTACGATTACAGGGGGTTAAAAAACATTTTGTGTCGTTATTATGTAAATATGTGAGATAAACAGATTTTTGGAAATAAATAGTTATTCTTAGTTCGTTCATATCATTTTCCAATGAAATCCTTCAATGTTAGCACAAAGCTCTCTATTTTCACAATCGAAATTTTGCTCTCACCACAGGAATACTCTGTTAGTGTATCTTCAGTCGTTAGAAACCACCGGAAATAGCGTGATGTGTTCTTCTGCTGAGAATTGATCACTGACTGTACAAGATACAAATTAGAGTATCACAGAAAATAAACACTGAATATGTGGCTCGAATACTGTTATACTCCGTTACCAAAATGGTATCGGATCATGTTGGACATTCAGAAAAATAAGTGTTGAAAACATAAACAATTAGCCGGAGTTTTTTATGTTGATTGAATGTTGAATGGGAAATCTGTTCCCACGCTATTATACCTTTCCTAGGATTCCATTTTTCTTATATTATTTTATTACGATTATACTTCGAATACCTTTTAAATATTTTTATCCCAAGGTGCCAAGAAGGCAACAAAACCTCGGGCTCGCCGTAAATTCCGGCTTTGTTTCTCTCCTCGGTAACACGGCTATGCAATGCATACGGCTGGATGATGCAACTATACGTGCTCTGTAGATGTGCGTGATGCATATACGATGAATTGAAGGCGCTTCGATTTTATTAGCCCTAGAAGTGATTAGCAGATCGTGTCACGCTAAGTCGAACCCCTGACGAGATATATCTCTCCAAGGTGCATCATTCGTAAGAGTTATAGTTAAAAAATTATAAGAATAATGAGAAATTGTTTTACTTGCGCACATATTTTATTAAAATAGAAAAGATTCACCGGAAGTTTATTTTTTATACCTTATTACGAAGTGAACTATAAAGCTAAATTTTATACCAAAAGCTTATGCATTGCAGCCACTACGGCTGTAATAAAATATGACGTGGTGATACCGACGTTAATTAGATTCCTAGTTTCCTGCATGAAATGCAAAATATTTTAGGAGACGCTTCGCCGCGTCGGTGGACACTTTGATCTTAGTTCCCGGCGTTCAGGTTTCCGTAGAATATATGGACGTATTTATGCTAAAAGGAACTATGTCACACACAATCTCTATGCACATAGTTCCTTTTAGCAGAAATAGTCCACATAAGAAAACTTAACCTAGGGAATCAAAGAATCTCGCAATCTGTCATCAGTTTTCCTCATGCACGATTTCAATCGTTTCCAAGGTGGACCGCAGCTTGGAAACGAAGCAGAAGGGAGTTCAGCATAAAGGAACCAAGCCACATCAGCTATTCCTAAGTTAAATGGGGTAATTAAATTTTGTACATAAAAATGGTTGTGCAAACTTTTGTGCAAATTTTAGTGAATATTCTGCATAGTGAGAAACAAATTCCGAAAAATTTTGTAAAGGAATCTAGTCAAACTTTCCCTTGTAAAAAATTAAATTTCCCACTTAAATTTGGCGATAGCTGATGTGGCTTGGTTCCTTTCTGCTAAACGCGGTCCATCTATTGCTGATGGGGATGAAAAAAGGTCGGTCATTTCGATATGTAAATTTCTCAATGTTTGCATTCACAGGCTCAAAACGCATCGTTAGGAAGCTCTGACTTTCTGGTGATTAGACCGAGCTCCACTTTTATTGATAAAACTCTGTGGGTCAAAACATTTTGGGGCACTAGCGCTCAGAAATTTTGGTACGTCACGGCACCCCCACGATACGGAAAATCTACGCTTACCAGTATGATGAGATACTTCTTCAGCGTCAAACAGCTTGAGAACTCCGACTCCTCCCAGAAAGAGTACCTAGAAACGGTAAGGCAGAACTTCAAAGCGACAAACCTTTACCTTCGGGAAAGATCCTTTTTCGACGAACATTTCCAACGGTATCTGGTGATGTTCTTCGATTTCAAACCCCTAGCCGACGTCACCGACGAAGCCACATTTGAGGCAAAATTCTGCGATATTTTGTGCGAAATGTACGTGCGAGCCCATCCTTTCTACGGTGGCCTCGGAGAAAGAGAGAGATGGACCGAGTGTAGAGAAGATTGCAATTTAGAATTTGATCGAAAAGCAACCGCTTTAGGGAAACGATTGTCTCAAGAATTATTCTACTACTACAACCGAACAAAAGTAATCGTTCTGATTGATCATTACGACGCTATCATATATTCACTTTTTCAAGGAGGTATATTGAATTTTGACATGGTGAATAAAAAAATGACGGACTATCTCACGCCTCTGCTCCGTAAGAACGAATGCATCCAGAGCTCTTGGATGACTGGCTCGTTCTACCTTGGCGGCGTCATGAGGCCCATGGCAAGAATAGTCCAACATATTCCATTCGACTCCAGAAAAAACTGGGCGCGGTATTTTGGGGTCACTCAGGATGAGGCCAGGTCAAAACTTAGGAAATTCCATTAAACACAGAAAGACAAAATTATCGAGGAAAGGTACTTGGGCTACAGGATTGAAAACTCCAACTCACGCGTTTACGATATGGTTTCAATCACGAGATTTTTAGTGAGCCGAGAGCCAGATTTCTATTGGAACGATGTTGTTCACCCGTTTTTGAAATCATTCGCGGACTTTTTCTCGGAGCAACGAATCGGCACGCAAATCAAGAAAATCATAACCGGGGACTCGATCAATACTCTCGACTGTAAATGTTACTCAAACTTCAGCTACACTGCAGACGCACTGCAAATTTTGAAAAAGAAGGTGGCATACAATGCTGTAAAAGACTTGGATGTGACTGCGTTCATCGTGTTTCTGCGGGAGGCCGGCTACCTATCAACATTTGGAACGAAAAATGCATTGGTAGCTGTCAGTGAGCAGACAAAATACGCTCTTCGGAAAATGCTGGCTTATAATTCTGAGTAGGTATCATGTGAAAAACCGCAGAGTAACCATAGAGGGCCGAGAAAATTTCCGGTCAATCGCATTAAACCTACTCAGGGCCGGATTTACTTACTTGCCGCCCCCTTCTCATTCGTTTTGAAACATCAATAAAAACCATCAAGTGAACATGCTGGAGAGGGAGGGGTGCTTAAGACGCGTTCACTCGTATTAGACACATTTTTTTGCGAAGGCCCTGTCAACACTACTAGCAAAAGTTCACGGAACTTTGCGCGAAAGTTAAGTTTGGTGAACTTATCTCTGTGTGGACAAGGCCTTCCATTTATAAGAAATGAACGAAAAAATTATGAAACAACAAACATTAAATGCGGTTTAATAATTTTAACCCTCTATGGCATGAAATAATAGAATGAATTAATTTTGGATCTCAGATTCTAGGGGACACTAATCTATGTTGTAGCTTGCATAAAAAAAATAGAGTACCGAATTTTTTTTCAACATATTAAAGTCAAGGGAGTCAATTTTTCAAAAAAAAAAGAGAAAAAACTAGTACAATTTTGCAAAATCATGACTCAGGGGAAAGATTCAGTTTTTAAAAACCCCGAAAATCGTTGTTACGGATTCGTAACGCTATGCCATTGATGGTTAACTGCCGCCGCTGCGCTGTGCCGCGCTGACCGCGCGAAGTATTCCTTCAGTCTTGTAGGCGCTATGCGTTTCACGGCGATCGCTGCTGAACGCACTGTGTTCGACGCAATGCGTGAAGTATTCATGCAGTCTTGTAGGCGCAATGCGTTTCACTCTGACCGCACTGTGTTTGACGCAATGCGTGAAGTACAAGTATTCATGCAGTCTTGTAGACGCAATGCGTTTCACGCTGACCACACTTTGTTTGACGCAATGCGTGAAGTATTCATGCAGTCTTGTAGGCGCTAATATGTGTTACATGCCGACCGCCGCCGCGCCGAGGGCTTCTCCTTTTCATCTCAAGTACTTGTCATCATTGCTCTCTGCGCCGCGTCGCTCTAGGCGTAATTGCGTGTTTGGTTTCTCTCTTAACTCGACTAATTATAGGTGCTGTATTTTGTATCACCGAAAGACGAAAACATTAGAAATTACTATACACTCAGGAAATGAGAGATTTTGTCGCCTTTTCTCGTTTGTAATTTTTTTCTGAATCCGATTTTTTTATACCTACATTTTAAAAAATTGCAAGATTGCCGCCCCCTAAATTTGCCGCCAAGGGCCGCGGCCCATGTGGCCACCTCCTAAATCCGGCCCTGAACCTACTCAGAAATCTGTACAAAAATTGGCGAAGGACACTTCCGCAATCTTCGATTCTGATGACTGTGAATAGGTATACAGTATACATAAATACTGGACTAGGTAAAACCGTAATGTATCCACTGCGGTGAAAGAATAGAGCATGTTCTAGAGATCAGGTACGTCTATTCGAAGTACCTACGTGGTTTTATAAGACGCAAGTGGGAAAAAATTTGCGGGTACTCACGGGAAAGCTTTGAGGCTGGCATACGTGCAAATAATAAGGTTGAATCATTTTATGATTCATTATGAATCATTTATGACGCTCGGATGCGTTCAATTATGTAAAAAGACAGTCCAAATTGAAAAAGACATGTTCAAAATTAAAGCGCTTGTTAACCATAGAGTGAAAAAATTTGGTAACAAGAATTCAAGCAAGCGATGATCTTAATCAAAATCTGGCAGAAGAGTAAACATCACACATGCTCAGCTATAACGGGGGAGGTCTGGTGAGGGGCCACAAGGGGCCCCCTAATTCTATTCATAATTCATAATTTCTAGGG